AAGACAATAAGACTGCAAACAATACACCATATTAATAATATGACGATTGAGAACAAGCAGAGTGATACTACATATACTAGTCAGAATCATAAGGTTAACAATGCGGATACTACGAATAATAATACAATTACTATTACTAAGAATACGAAGGCTATTCTTACTATTACTACAACTATTAATCATACTCATAATAATGAGAGGGAGAGGGAGGAGGAGGGGCAGGAGGAGGAGGACGGACAGAGGAGGAGGAGGAGGAGGAGGAGGAGGAGGAGGAGGAGGAGGAGGAGGAGGGGGAGGGGGAGGAGGGGAAGGGGCTGAGGAGGCCCGCGCAGATTTCCTGGTTGGTGCCCCCCCGCCCCCTCTGGCCGCGCCTCTCTGCGCCGCTCTCCAGGCGCGCGCCGTGCGCCGGGGAGGGGTGGGCCGGGCGCAGGCCCTGGAAGTGCGCGCGGACTGCGGCGGCTCGTGCCTGCTTTCAGCCACGCGCGGGGAGGTGGGGGGAGGAGGAGGAGGAGGAGGAGGAGGAGGAGGAGGAGGAGGAGGAGGAGGAGGAGGAGGTGGAGGAGGAGGAGGAGGAGGAGGAGGGCGGGAGGAGGGAGGAGGGAGGAGGGAGGAGGGAGGAGGAGGGAGGAGGAGGGGGGAGGGGGGGAAGGGCAAGCTAGGTGCGCTAGCGTCACACCTGACGTCGTACCCCTCCCATCGAGCATGGCATGTCATTGCATGGTGTGGCATTGCGTAATGAAGCATTTTATCACAAAGCATAGCATCTCAAAGCATGGCATCGCAAAGCGGTGCACAGCATTGCATGCCGTGGTATGGTACCTGATGACTTGGAGGGTAAGTGGCCCGTCCACGAGAGGACAGGGCCTGTCCGAAATGCCAGCTCCATGTCCTCCGCAACCGTGCCTGCCCGATGTGGGCGCTTTCGAATGCCAAGTGCCGTCTGGAGGCGCGAGAACGAGGCCAGCGTTGCAGCGGGAACACGACTTTGAGTGACCGAAGCGCGGACATGAGGGCGGCGCTGCAGCGGGACCACGATTTTGGAAGAAGCAGAAACGACCGGATTGACAAAAACACAGGAACAACCAAATTTGGTGTAAAAGGACAATGCGCGGAGAGGACGGGACACTCTCTGGAGAGAGTCAGGGGAGAGAGGATAGTAGTATTCATGTTGTGTGACTGTCGAAGGGGGGGGAGGGCTTCCTAGAAATACCCTTTCTTCTGAGGAGGCGCGGGCCCTGTCTGTAGATGTAGGGCTAAATCGGGCGTGGTCCTCTACAGGAGGAATTCTCAAAGATAGTAAAAAACAGTAGGGGGACACAGATTTTTTGACTATTTTTAATGGTTCGGCCAAAATTGGCCTGTAGGGGGACGTGCCCGACTTAAATGTAGGGCTGGCGCCTTCTGAGGAGCAGCCTCCTTCTAAGGAGCCTTCCCCCCCTCTCATCCGCCCCCCTTGTGCGCGACGCCTGTGGCAGGATGACGAGGAGGTTCGAGGATCGAGGCTCGAGGGTCGAGACCTCGAAAAAGAATGAGGGCCAGCGGCATCGGCACAGCTTGGCACCGTCGGGGTGTCGGGGTCGGCATCGGTACACCCTCTCCTCCTCCGAGGACCTTCGAGGAAACCACAATCGCATAATCGTTTTCTTATTCATTGTTTTGCCGATCGGCGCGGGCCCTCGCACCCCCCCTTCCCCCCCCTTTGAGTGGATCTTGGCTGTTTGTGGCGCCTATTTTGAGCAGGTGGAGCCTCCTCATCACAGGACGCGCTGCTGCCAGCAGTCGCACTGAGCAGAGGTCCGGAGAGCCGGACTTCCCCCCCCCTTCCCCCCCCCTTCTGCCCAATGTCGAGACGCCGAATAAAAAAAAACACGCTCGCTAAACAGAAACCTGCGGACCTCCGCGCGGATTTTGGATCTTTTGGACCCTGCGCTGGAACCACTGTGGCGGCGCCTCGGGCGCGCAGGAGCGCGCCAGGGAAGTGGCTTCGGCACAGATCCAAGAAAGAAATCCGCGCGGACCCTCAACAAATTTTGCTTATGCAGTTTGTTCTTCCTCTGAGGACCTCGGGGAAAGAACAAGTAGTTATACCCAAGAATCGAAGTCCGCGCGGACCCTCAACAAATCTTTGCTTATGCAGTTTGTTCTTCCTCTGAGGTCCTCAGGGACGGTTCTACAGATGCCGCTGCTTGTCCTGGAGAGCCCTCGGCGCCACGGCTGGGTGCTCCCCAGAGTTCTGGTCAGAGTGCGCCCCGGGAAATGTCCGGAGAGTAGCGGCATCGGTCCCTTTCCGCCACCCTGGATTCGAGGATCGAAGTTCGAGGGTCGAGATGTGGAAGAAGGGGGTTGGACGAGGACGCGCCCTGAACCACTCACGCCCAGAGAGCTGGTGGGATTTTGCCCCAAACCCGCATTCTCATCCCGCCAGGCAGTGCATCTGCGTTGGTTAGCACGCGCTCAGCGCACGAGTTCGTACCACATGACCCCATGCGGACCACGCGCGCGCGCCGCCTCGCGCGCCTGTCGAAGTCCGTCCAACACCCATGGGTTGTCCAAGGATGCCAAGATATAGTTATTTAATCGCTTCGCTCATTCCGCCGGCCCGTATTGTGCCATCGCAGGCGTTTGCTTGCGCGTTCGTGGCCTCTTGGAGCCTCGGTGGGGCCGTTTGGGGCCTCTTGGCGCCTCTTTTTAGGCCTCTTGGAGAACTCGGGAGGCCTCCAGGGGGCCTCCTGAGCTCTCGTGACGGTCTCTTGGGGGGCTTTCGGCGGGCTCTTGGCGGTATTTGTTGGTCCTCTTGGGGCCTCACGGGAGCTTATTGGGGCGTCTTGGGGGTGTCTTGGAGAGTCTCTTGGGGCCTCTTTCGGGGTCCTGGGCGCCTTCTGGGGCGGAGGGCTCGATTTTTCAGTTCTCGGTTCCCTTCTTGAGCCCCTCTTGGGCCCGTCTTGGGGCCTCTTGGTCCGCCTTGGGCAGCACTTGGGCCGTCTGGGGGGCGCTCTTGGGCCGCTCCGGGGCCGTCTTGGGAGCCTCGTGGGCCGTCTTGGAGCAGTCTTGAAGGCCTCTTGGGCCCTCTTGGAGCGCCCGGAAGCGAAAAGGCCAGAACGCAAAAAAACATAGAAAAAACCAGTGAAAATCAACGATTTTGGCAACTTGGGGCCCTCTTCGGAGGCCTCTTGGAAGGCCCTTGGAGCGTCTTGGAGGCCTCTTGGGCTGTCTTGGGGCCATCTGGGGCGTCTTCGGGCGATCTTTGGCCGTCTCGGGCCTCTCTTGGACCGTCTAGAAAGCTTCTCGGGGCCCTCTTGGACCGATCTGGAGCCCTCTTGGACTCCGAAACAGAACTCCGGCATCTCTGACCCGACCTTGCCGGGGACTTGCCGGGGACTTGCCGGGGACTTGCCGGGACCTTGCCGGGGTACTTTTCGTCCGGGGACCCCCAGGGGCCGCCCCGCGCGCGCGAACTAGAAATACTGTTAACCAGGTACCGGAGATCTTAGCACGCCCTGGCCCGTTGGGCCGGCGAATTCATCACATATGAGATACTAAATGTTTTGCAACAGAAGAGTCTGCCAGGTATCTGGAATTTCTGTGCGCGCGCACTTCTTCACAATTACCTTCATCAGCGCCATCGCATCCCCGCCTTTATCGTCAGCGCCAAACCTTGCCACTGCCGCCATCATCAGGCAATCACCCTCGACACCGACATATGGACATTCTCACCATCGTCATCGTCGTCACCAGCATCGGCGCCGTCATTGGCCTGCTGTCGCCATCGTCATCATCGCCATCACCATCGTTACTATCGTCATCGTTGCCGCCGCTGTCGCCTTTCTCATGACACCGCCCCCGCCCGACTCACAGTCCCGCACTGAAGAACCCCTGAGCCAGTGCGGCCTCTGAGATGCGCTGGGAAGATCCCATCGGCAAGCGCCATCGCGACTGCAGCAGTTGTGCAAACAAGCTGGCCGCTCTGCGCGCGAGCTTGCGCGCGCCACCGCGGCCGCAGAGATGCGCCAACCACTGCCGAGCACATGCGCAACCGTGGCAGTATGGGTTTGCAGAACAAGTCGCGGGTTGGAGGGTGGATTTCCGCGCGCGTGCATTTTCTCACCATCACCTTCATCAGCGCCGTCGCATCACGTCATCGTCATCGACTGCAGCTGCCGCCATTATCACCCAGGCACCGGCGTCATCGAGACATGGACATCATCATCGTCATCGGCGTTACCAGCATCGGCGCTGTCACTGGCCCTGCCATCGTAATCGTCATCTTTGCCACCATCGTCGCTGCTATCATCATCGTTGCCGCCGTTGTCGACGTCGTCGGGATATCGTTCCCGCCCGAGCCACCGACCCGCATGGAAGTGCCCGCGCGCCAGCGCGGCCTTTGACACGCGCTGGGGCGATGCCATCGGTAAGCGTCATCGCGCTCGCATCGGTTGTGCCAAACCAGCTGATCATTTTGCGCGCGACCTCACGCGCGCCAGCGCGGCCACAGAGATGCACCAGCCATGGCCAAGCAGTTGCCGCAATCGCCCCCCGCATGGGTTCTGCAAACGAAGCGGGGTGATTGCGCGAACAGTGGAGTTGATGACTTCAAGTTCTACAAGGAGGGCCACACCTCCTTGTAAGCATCTAGTGCGTTTTACAAGGAGGACCACAGTTTTACAAGGAGTTTTGCGTTTTTTACACATCCACAGTGCAACCAATTACAATCTGCGGTCCGCTCTGGCAAGCATGGTCAATCAACGTGCGGGGGTGCGTCGTGTGGGCACTGGTTCGCGCAAGCCAGGGGATCTTTCCTGGCACAGTTAGTTTCGGCTTGCATGATTGGGGCCAAAAGGGGCGCTGAGGCGGGACGGCATGGGCGGGTGCTTTTCCACGACTTGGAGCACAGACGTGATCACAGCGTCATCCGTCGTCGTCGTCGTCGTCGTCGTCGTCGTCGTCGTCGTCGTCGTCGAGCAAGGCGCCGTGGGGGGTTGGCGACACCCCTGGCCTCCCGAGGTGGTGCCCGCCATGCCGCCGAGGAGACGGATGAGATCGGGAAGGCGGCGCTCGCCGCGGCGGCCCCGCCCGCGGTGCACGACCCGGGCCTGGGCGCGGCCGGCGACGCCGCGCCTTCGGCGGCATCCGAGGGCGCGGCTGCGGTCCTCTGCCCGGCGCCCCGCAGCCTCGGGCGGCCCGGCGGGGAGGGCGCGAGCGTGCGGGAGCCCCCCGGGGACGAGGGCGCCGACGCGGTCGGCGCGAGCGGCGGGCGCCCAGGCGCAGCCGCCGACGCGCCTCCGCGCCGCGCTGGCGCCGGAGCCGCAGGGCCGGGCCGCCCAGGGGGCGCCAGGGTCCCCGCGCCGGGGCGGCAGGAGCACGGCCCGGGGCCCACGGCGTCGGGGCGCGGGCCTGCAGCGTCGGGCCGAGGAGGGGGCCGTGCAGCCGCCGGTGTCTCGGAGGAGCAGGGCGCAGCCGGGAGGCGCGCAGGGCTCCTGCGGGCTCTTCTCGACGAGGCGCTCGAGCCCTCGGGGAGCGTCGCCTGCCTGCGGGAGCTCACCCCAGAGGTGTCGCTCGAGCGGGAGAGCCTGCTGCGCCTCGAGGTCATCTCGCAGGTGGAGTCCAAGTTCGTGGTTGCACAGGTCACTGGCAGGCTGCTGGTGGTCCTGGACCAGCACGCTGCCTCCGAGCGGGTGGAGCTCGAGCGCCTGCAGCGCCAGGTGCTGTGCGGCGCCTCTTACGGGCTGGAGTCGGTGCCCGTCAGTGGAGACGCATGCCTGGTGCGAATGACGGCAGAGGAGCTCAGGTGGGCGACGCAGGAAACGGAGTCGTCTGCGCCGACATTGGCGCGGATGCTGCCCGCGTAAGGTCGCGCGTGGGCGCCCTCGTCTCCAGTCTAGCGTGATGCGCTGGCGGCCCGCGTAAGCCGCCGCGTAAGGTCGCTGTGCCATCTCGCGCAGGACCGGTTTATTTTCGTCGCTCAGGTGGCTCTCCACGCACGGCGCGCACCTGGAGAGGTGGGGTTTCCGGTACAGGCACCATCTCGGCGGCGCCCACGAGGGGTGGCGCGAGCGGTGCGGCCTTTGAAGCAGGCGTGGGGGGCCTTCCTGGACGGCAAAGGGGCGGGGCCCTTAGAGAAGCCTGCCCTGCTTCTGAGAGGCCTTCTCAGAGGCCCCAGGGCCCTTCTGAGAAGGCCCCTGCCCTCTACGAGGCCCCCCCTCGCACTCTCAGAAGGCCGCCCCCCTCGCGCGCCTCCTCCTCCTCCTCCTCCTCCTCGTCCTACTCCTCCTCTCCCTCCTCCTCTCCCCTCCTCCTTCTCTCATCCTCCTCCTCCTCCTCCCCTCCCCCCGCCCTCTCAGAAGGCAGCCCCCTCGCCCCCCCCCCCCCGTGGGCGCCTTCAGCCATCGCGACGACTCCGCGGCCGGTGCGCCGCGGGCGCCCGCCGTGCACGTCACCCACGTGCCGAGCGTGCTGGGCTCTCAGCTGGCCCCCACGGACGTGAGGGCGCTGCTGGCTGAGGCCGAGAGGGGATCGGCGGCCGGATCGGCCCCGAGCACCATCTTGCACATCCTCGTCTTCAAGGTCAGAAGCGGGAACACACGCCGAGTTTCTCAATCAGCGTCGGGGGGGCGTCACCTTCGCCGGCAGCCCCACATCGACCCCCGTCCCTGGCAGCCGCCGCGCGCCGAAGGCGCTCCGACCCCCGTCGCGGCGCGACGACGACGAGGCGAGGTTGACCCCCGTCGGGGGGGTACCTCCCCACGCTTAGTAAGAACCCCAGTGTATACACTACCAGTGGCGGGCTGCTTTTCAATCCCAGGGTCGGGGACGACTTCGGGGTGGTGTGGCGTATACTTGTTCTTTCCGCTTCCCGAGGAAGCATCGAAAAATGTATACATTAGGATCTCTTGCGCCTTATACGCCAGGATCCGCTTTCTTGAACATATTTCAGTGCAGGGCCAGAAATAGCGTCGGTGTATAGAGTTCGGTTCCCTACAAGAGCGCCCACCGCTTCGTCCGAAGCCGTTTCCTCCGGACGACTTCCTCCGAGACGAGCTGATTTGGGCGACCTCGTCCGGGCCCGAGCAGCTTCTTCTGGACGAGGTCACCCGCAGACGCGTTCGCCTGAAGACGGGCTCATCCAGACGTGATCACCCGCAGACAAGTTCATCCGGACGAGTTTATCCAGACAATTTCCCCAAGACGAGTTCGTTCGGAAGATCGTTTTTTCAGATGAATTCGTCGCGGAAGAAATCGTTCAGCATGAATTGGTCGTCCTCCCAAGGCGTGCCGGAGGGCGGTGAAGTTTGGGGACCCGCTGTCGCGCCCAGAGGTGTCGAGGAGCCAACAATGACATAACCATAAATTTTGCGATGCCTGCGCGGATTTCTCAGATCGGCGATGGAGCCTCCTGGTGGCGCCTCCGGCGCCGCGGAGCAGGGTCCAGCGCCGATCCCAGACGTCCGCGCGGACCTCCCAAAGTTTATGTTTATGCTATCAATCGCTTCGCTCTTTCCGCCAGCCCATATTGCATCCCTGTTGGTCTCTTGGCGTGCTTTTGGCGAGCGAGGAGGCGGACGAGGAGGAGGATGAGGGGGAGGAGGAGGAGGAGGAGGAGGAGGAGGAGGAGGAGGAGGAGGAGGAGGATGAGGAGGGGAGGAGGAGGAGGAGGAGGAGGAGGAGGAGGAGGAGGAGGGAGGAGGCGGGAGGAGGCGGAGGAGGCGGGGATGCGGAGGAGGAGGAGGAGGAGGAGGGGAGGGGAGGAGGAGGAGGAGGAGGAGGAGGAGGAGGAGGAGGAGGAGGAGGAGGAGGAGGAGGAGGAGGAGGAGGAGGAGAGGAGGAGGAGGAGGAGGAGGAGGAGGAGGAGGAGGAGGAGAGGAGGAGGAGGAGGAGGAGGAGGAGGAGGAGGAGGAGGCGGAGGAGGAGGAGGAGGAGGAGGAGGAGGAAGGAGAGGAGGAGCGGAGGAGGAGGAGGAGGAGGAGGAGGAGGAGGAGGAGGATGAGGAGAATGAGGAGGAGGAGAAGGAGGAGGAGGGGGAGAAGGAGGAGGAGGAGGACTAGGAGGCGGAGGAGGGGGAGGCGGCAGATAGTTTTTGTCCCTCGAAGATGGCGCGCCTGGTCCGCAGCCTCGCGGCCTGCGCCTTCCCCTTCCAGTGCGCCCACGGGAGGCCGACGGTCTACCCCCGAGGAGCAAAGAACGGCCCAAAGCACAAGCTCTCAGAGCTGCGCGCGAACTTCTTGCATCGGCGCTGGACCTCGCCACCCACCAAACCACCCCAATCAGTACCAGCCGCATTTTGGTGAGGGCACCTCCCCGATCGCGAATCCATGCTTGCGCGCCCCCGACCCAACCCAACCCGAAGGCTCCAATTTGCCCTCCATTCCCAGGGAGGGGGGGGGCGCGTCGGGGAACATTGGGAAAACGTGTGGGATCCGTACCCCCCCAAACCCGAGATTTGTGTCTCCGTGTTGGCTTGGGGTGGTCTGGTAGACAGTGAGGATCCCCCCCCGGGCGCGCGGAGCGCGCCAGGAGCGGCGCCTGAGGCGCCGCCAGCGGGCTCCAGCGCCGACTTGAGGAATCTGCGCAGAGCCCCGAAAGTTTGCATGCTTTTATGCCGCTCGTTTTCCTGCTGAATGTTCTGCCTGTGCTCGTGCCGCTTTTTGCTCCTCGGCCACCCCCTCTTGAGCCTGAGCGCCCTGCGCGAGCGCGCCCTCGCCAGCGGCGGGCGCCACGCGGCGCGCCCCGCGCCCCTGGCGCGCCTCCTCGGGGACGAGGCCCCGGGGCGGCCGAAGCCGCCTCGTCCCGGGGAACCTGCGGCAGGTTCGCGTCGGGTCTCCTCCTCTCCTCCTCCTCCTCCTCCTCCTCCTCCTCCTCCTCCCCCTCCTTCCCCTCCTCCTCCTTCTCCTCCTCCTCCTCCTCCTCCTCCTCCTCCACGCAGAACGCCGCCGGCGACCCAGAATCGATCGATGTCGATCGGGCTGGCACTTGGGAAACGGCAGGTCGTTCAAGGTCGAACGATCCCCGCGGTGTCAGAAACCAGCGTGGACGGGGGCACGGCGCGCGAGCCTGCCGTGACTGTATACCCACACCGTGCTCGGGCGTTTTCCTTGGTGCTCGGCGGCTTTCCAGCCTCGGGATGCTCTCCAGCAGCCGCTCCTCGCCGAGGGCCTTCTGGGGTTGCCGGGATCGTCCCGCACGGCCGGCGGAGGGCCGAGTCGCGACCCCCAAGCCAACACGATCCCAGGGGGAAGCCGTGCACATCGGGCGACATCAGCTGGCCACCTCACCTGTCCTGGCCAGGCCGGTCCTGGGCCCCAGGAGTGGTGCGTGCGCCTCCCCGCCGAGGCCAGGAGGGCGGGCAGTCGACGCGCGCAGAACCCCCCGAACCCGAGTCTTCCGTCTCCCCGACGCGACGGCCCGCGCGGGCGGGGCAGTGCCCTCGTTGGGGGCCGGGGCGTGCGCTTCCAGTCGGGTTTGATTGGCAGGTCGACCCAGCCAAACCAAGGCTGCCCAGTGTGTCCTGTGTTTGGTGACCTATGCCTTCGACAGTCCAGAGGGCAGTGCGGCTCTCCCTCTCGCGTGTCCTCGTCCATCAAACACGCTTCGCGTGTCTCCACCAGCCCATTCAAAAACCCTGCCCGTGAGAGTCGACGGGAGCAATGGGGTGGCCTTGGAGGGCCTCTTCGGGCCATCCCTGGGGCCTGCGTGGGGGCGAGGGTGGCAGGAGGAGGAGGAGGAGGAGGAGGAGGAGGAGGAGGAGGAGGAGGAGGAGGAGGAGGAGGAGGAGGAGGAGGTGGAGGTGGAGGTGGAGGTGGCGGTGAGGGGAGGAGGAGGAGGAGGAGGAGGAGGAGGGAGAGGAGGAGGAGGTGGAGGAGGAGGTGGGAGGAGGAGGTGGAGGAGGTGGAGGTGGAGGTGGAGGTGGAGGTGGAGGTGGAGGTGGAGGAGGAGGAGGAGGAGGAGGAGGAGGAGGAGGAGGAGGAGGAGGAGGAGGAGGATGAGGAGGAGGAGGAGGAGGAGGATGAGGAGGGGGACCTCTGGGGACTCGAGCTTCCTCGGCATCTCAGGGCGGCCCTTGCCCGCCGCTCGATGCGGCGCTCTTCGGTGGAGCCAGGGGCAGGCTCTGGAGGCGCGCGGATCCCAGGAGACCTTCGCGCGGTCGGGGCAGCAGATTCCGCACCGCGGCACGTTACAGCCGAGTCCCACCAGCTTGTTTGGGCAACGGTGGTCTGACGACATCTTTCCTTCCTCTTGCAAAAGCCTCTTCCCTTCCAGGAGGGTTACCTCCCCCCTCCCTGCGTCTGTAAGGGAGGGGGGAACGAAGGGGTTAGAGCGTCCAAGATGGCTCCAAGAGGGCGCCCGATGCTATGAGATGGCCTCCAAGGCGGCTCAAGATAGCCGGCGATGACTCAAGATGACTTCCGACCTACCTCCAAGAGGCCCGACGTGTGCCACAAAGACGAGTCCAGAAACCTTACAACAATTAAGGAGCATCAATGATTGTTGCCTTCTCGCCTTTTCGTTTCCAGTGCGCTTTGGACGCCTCAACATGGCCCAAAGATGGCCCAAGAGAGGCCCAAGAGGGGCCCAAGAGGCCCCCCAGGCAGCACCAGGAGCGGCCCATGAGCGCCCCAAGTGGGCCCCAAGAGGCGATTTCAATGGCCCCAGGGGGGCAAGGCAACTCGGGACCCCCTCTCTTTTGATCGATTGTCTCCAAGATGGCTAAAAGAGGCCCTCTAGGGCTCCCAAAGGACCTCCACGAGGACCTCAAGAGGGCCCCAAGAGACCCCAAGGCCCCACAAAAGAGCCTCAAGATGACCGCAAGATGCCCCAAAAAGAGTTCTAAGAGAGCTCCAAAGGGGCGATTTTGAGGGCCCTGTCCTCGTCCTCCTCCTCCTCCTCCTCCTCCTCTTCGTGCTCGTCCTCGTCCTTGCCCTCATCGTCTTTGTTGTCCTGTTCCTCCTCTTCCTCGTCGTCGTGGTCGTGGTCGTCGTCGTCGTCTTCCCCCTCCTCCTCCTCCTCCTCCTCCTCCTCATCCTGCTCCTCCTCCTCCTCCTCCGCCTCCTCCGCCTCCCCCTCCTCCTCCACCTCCACCTCCACCTCCACCTCCACCTCCTCCTCCTCCTCCTCCTCCTCCTCCTCCTCCTCCTCCTCCTCCTCTCGTCGCAGCCGTCGTGGCAACGAGGCTCCTGTTCAATCCCTCCTCCTGGGGAGATCCCTAAGCTCGGTATCTCTTAACCCATCCCCATCCCCATCCCCTATCCCCTTCGAGACCCCCACCAAATTACCCCCCCAGTTTGGGATACACCCCTCGAAACCCGAAGGGAACGGCCTATATCTCCATCTAGGGGGGTGCATCGGCCAGTTGGGCCCAGGCCACGCCGCTGGGGATGGGGATCGGTTCAACGATACTCATAAGCGTTCCCCGAAGACGCAGAACAGTTTTCAGAAGGCGCGAGGGCCTCTGAGGAGTCCCGCCACCTGCTGAGAAGGCCTGCTCATGCTCACTTCCCCCCATCGCTCGCCGCCAAACAGGGGCCCCGAAGGTGATCGTTTTTACCTAACAGCGAAGACTGATAGGTTTC